ACTGACAGTGTACTCTACTTACACAACTAGTTTTGCAATAACCTTCTACAAATAACTGTAAATAAGAAAAATGTAAATTTCATGTAAAAATGACTGCAACTTTTTGGTAGCTAAAAATGTACAAGTATTGAAAATATAGCATATATACATAATTTAAGAATGAAGCATATAATTTCTCATCTATTTATACATGAAAATTCAAGAATTTGTAAAAGAAATTATTTTGGGGAAAAAGAAAGTAAATCTTAATAGCTAGTTAGGATACTTTTATCAGAGAAGCCAACTATTTCCAACATTTTACTAGGTACAGTACTAGATACAGGCATGGTGGTGCTGATGTATTTCACGAAATCACATAATTGTAACACGCTACTACAGTTTTACTGAGTTCCACTAGGATGCTAAATAAGCTGGGCTGAGTGGTAAAAAGTATTAATTGAAAATTTAAAAAACATAAAAACATTTTACTTTTATTATTGCCTATCAAAAACACAATAATAATTTACTAAAATATTTGTTTGGTTACTTAAAATTTCTGATGGCTATACAGGCTTTAACTTACATGCAAAGCAAATTTTTTATGTGTGCTTGATTCATTTTTTCCATCAAGACAATATCCAGATATTATTTTCATTTGCCTAAGTTTCATACAGTCTTAATTCCCTCCTAGAATCATTATGAATCTATTACATAAGAAAAAAAAATCAAACTATCTTCAAAGAAAACTTGAAAATAAAATTTCTTGGTCATGATGTGGAAATTTACTAAGCTAAGGACTGTTTAGTCTGTGTAATGGTTTAGATCCCCACCATTCATTTTTAAGGTTTAAAAAACCAAGAGAACATTTCCTTATTTTATAAATGAAAAAAAATAAACCAAATATAGATTAGCAGAAAGCACTGTATTGATATCTATAAGCAAGCTGATTAGAAAATAAAAATCAAGTATGAAAAAGCTTAATATTTAAAAACTTAAAGTCTCTTGTAGTAAGAAATTTGTGGGGTACTGCATTTAGATAGCTTTGGGAAATGCTAACCAAAGTTGTTAATCCCAAAATCATTTCTAAATGGCCTATAATTTTCAAAAGAATATGGATCTTTAGTATGTTTCTGGAACACTCATACTGGCAATGTCCAGGTTATCCTTTGACGTTTCAGTAATCATAACAAGACAAAATGTGGTTAAATAGTCAATTAAAACGCAATCAACTGCATGCATCTGTAAAGTACATTTTTATATTTTTATGCTTAAAAGGTTAGAAGCTACCCCCAACCACCACCTCACACATAAACACAATGTTATCAGAAGAAGGTATTAATTCCTTGTATAGCTATTAAATCATGACCTCACCCAATTCTTCTCACTCCAGGTAAGCTTTCCAAATTGCCAGTTTCTGATGCTGCAAAAAGGGTACACCTTAAAACAATAAGTAGCACACAGACAAGGATCCTCATTCCCTCACTGTATGGCACATCATAGTTCTATAGAAGTGCTGCCAATGTCTATTTACTAACTATTCAGATATATAGAAGCACACCAGAGTTCTGAATGCTCACAAAGTAATACACAAAGCAGCATATTACCAAGCTACTTGGGTAAAAGGAATGTTAATTAACATAAGGCTCTTCTTTATATACCAGTACAATGTTCTTTTAAAACAAGGAGAAAAAAAGACATGGCAAGAAACAATTAAAAGCACAGATTTCCCATTATTCATATAATGAGCTGATAGTGAATCAGATGGAAATTTTTAAGTCTCCCAGTGTTATGCTGGAAAGCAGTTTTGTGCTCAGTATTCTAAATTACAGGACAATTTTAATTTAATATATGGACATTTGTCACTTTATGACCTTATTCTAGACTACAAATTATCTAAACAGTATTCATTTAAAATCCTTTCTGCATTCATCGCTATAATACAAGTCCAAAATGCTTATTTTTTGGCATTATCTATTATTATTAAGTCTAGACATACTTAGATGATACCTTAGTATTGTACATTTATTTCAAAGTGCTTAATTTACTATATAAATGACTAAATTAAGACCAAAAAAAAGTGATCTTTTAATACAAGTTTCAAAGTAATTAAATACTCATGGTTGCATTATAAAGTTTAAAAGAAAATATGCTAACCAGAAAGAAGTCTTGGATTTTACTTACTAGATTTAATTTACCGGGTTTTCACAAATTTATTCCCATTAATTTCCCAGAAAACTGCTAAAATAGGAGTAAACATCATCTATGAGGCTGTCAAAGATAAAAGGACAAAGAAAAGCACATTTCTGACAAACAGTATTTGTCCAGTTTAGTAATTCCATTGATTGCAAGTGAATTTAATTTGTATATTTTACTTAAATAATCATAAATTGCTGTTTTTATTAATTGCAGATTTTAAACTACATTAATAAATTTTACTTCCTTCCAGGGTAAATGCCTTTTCTGGAAATAAACATATCACTTGACATTTTTATGGCTTTTTTGTTTCTGAATGCATGTTTAAATAGATCAAATGAGCACAGTCCTTGAGATTACTTTTAAAGTGGACCAAATCAAGACCCTAATAGTACTGATTTCCCCTTGATGTAATTTAAAATATGTAAACTGGCACTAGAAATAGAAGTGCAATACCTGACATTTAATTGTTTGACAGTTTTTCAGGCATAGGTGAATTACTACACTGTTATTTGAACTGAAGCATCTCAGTATATATGTAAAAGATTTTGTATGATACAAAACTTTACAGCAAGCTATTTGAATGTTTATTAAAAAATTCTCAAAATTACATGGAAACATGTTTACTGTATAAATAAAAGCACTTAGACATCAAGAGTGTACATTATTCAATAATTTAATCATTAGAAAACCGGGCATGAATTAACCAGCACAAACTACCATACTATATTAATATTCCAGTCATGTTCATCATAAAACTATTTAATTTTTTACTTAGTGATAGATGTGTTTACATCAATTATCTTAAAACATCAAGAGTGAATTGCATTTCAGTATAAAAATCACAGTAAAATATTCTCTATGCCTAATGTTTTTACAAGATTATTTAATGTAAAGTGCAAAAGAATTGTTTCACAATAAAGTTGGATTGGCTGGATCATTATTTTTGCTAGAGGAAGGAGTTCTGTGACCAAAAGTTTGGAAAAAAAATGCGTCAAATAAAATTAACAGGATTTTATGTACCTTGGGCTTTATCATGCTCGCTGAGGATGGGAATTTCCCAACAATGTCTGGCCATGAAAAATCATTCTCACAGACTTCTTATAATCAAAAGACACAGGAAAAGGACAAGTAAGAGAACTGTGTAGAGTTCTAATAATGTGTCATTTGGCAGAAAGTTACATGGATAATACAATGTCGGATTTAAAAGTTTTACCTTAACTATGAGCCTCCAAGAGAACAAAATTATTATTGACCAACTGGACTTTGGGTGGTAAACATAGAATAGAATATACAGATGTCAAATTATTATGTACACCCGAAAATTATATAATTGTATTAACCAGTTACCCCAATAAACTTAATTTTTAAAAAGTTAAAAAAATTATTGACCAACCGCAGAACAGGACACTAGTAGCTCGACCACTTATAAGCTGGATGTTAAGATTCCAGGCTGCTGAGTCACAGTATCACCCTTATTCAATGTGAATGATAAACGGTGTGCTTACATTAGCTTTTTCTGACAACACTTCTATTGAGAATTCTCTATTTTTTTTTTATGGCTCCATTAATGCCCTCTCATATTATCAAATATATTCTCAAGAAAAAAAAAATTAACAGAAGACAAAATTTATGAGAATTATACACATTTTATAAAACTGAACAAATAAATTTGACAACTAATTAAAATTATCAATATGAAAATAATAATGACTTCCTTTCCAGGATTTTAAAATGTGAACATTGATTTAAAATTCTTTAAGTTTATAAAAATTTTTTTCAAGATACTGCCATTCATCCTCCATTTTTTAAAGAAACACAGTATTATAAAATTATATATTAATTTGGTCAAGTCATATTAAAATTATGTCAATTTGTATAGTAGTGCGCCATATCCATGTTTTCAGTTAGCTGAGGTCAACTGTGGTCTAAAATAGTAAATGGAAAATTCCAGAAATAAACAATTCATAAGTTTTAAATTGTACGCTGTTCTGAGTAGCGTGATGAAATCTCAAAGTGTCCCACTCCATCCCTCCCAAGAAGTGAATCATCTCTTTGTCTAGCATACCCATGCTGTATGTGCAGTACAATAAGGAATTTGGAGAGACCAAATTCACATAACTTTTAGTATACTGTTATAATGTTCTATTTTATTATTATTGTTGTTAATCACTTATTGTGCCTAATTTATAAATTAAACATTAACACAGGTATGCATGAATAAGAAAAAACAGTACAAATAGGGTTAGGTACTACCCACGGTTTCAGACCATCCACTGGAGGTCTGGGAATGTATCCCCCCAGATGAGGGGGGCTACTATATTCACCTTTAAGCTAGGGAAGATAGCCAATTAAAGTATAAGAAAAATATGTGGTTCATTAAATCTTCACTAAGAAAAACTTAAGGTGTTTGCCAAAAAAGGAGCTGGATTAATTATAAGAGTTTATACCAGGGATCCTAAATGCTAAGATGCTGATGACTCCACTTTGCAATTTCCATAGTAACACCATTCAGAAATGTTGCTGAGGTGCCTACCATGCTCAGTACCCCACATTACACAGATGCGCTCAAAAGACATTGGTTTCCTAATGCCAAAATCACCAGCTAATGTCAAAAAAGCCAAATTTATCAGTTCTGCACATTTAAACCCAGTGACATGTTACTTGATTTTTTTAACTATGTAAACAGTTAGCATTATGTATAAACATCAATTAAGTTTAACAAATTTAAATGTTGACATTTCATTAAAAATGTGTCATTTCCAGAAAACCTAGGTTTAGAAAAAGATGCCATTTTAGGTTATCAATGTCTTCACTAATGAAAAAAGTGCAGAGAGAAAAGTTGTTTATTAAGAACTTTTTTTCCAGAGAAGACAACAAAACATATTGAAGAAAAATATATAATGTAAAATATAAAAAAGGAAAAATTATGCCTCCTGTAGTCTTTATTTCACTATATATTATCTTATGGTCCATCTAAGGCAATTTAAAATAAAATTTTAGGAACTACAATTTTCTTCTTCACAGTTAAAGATAAGTGAGTTTCTGTTCTCTATTCTTATGTGAACAAGAACAAACCCCATAATGAATATGGCACAAAATCCAGGACTGTGCTTCTAGCTCACCCTCAAACACCAACAACTGCAAACAAAATTTGAAAGTAAAATTTGTAACCGTCTGATAAGTATAAATTAGTTTTATCTAGGCTTTCATTATGTGGCTTCTTATATAATCTATCTCATAAACACATTCCTCTAGGTTTATATTGTTAAAAATTAAGGCTAACAGATATTTACATCAATATCATACACCAATATTTATGACATATGCAGATATCTGTAAAGCGGTAATTTTTCTAAAAGCAATAACATCCCAAATACAAAAAACATCTCTTTTACTGCTTTGAATTGTGAGCTAAAATAAAAACATATGATGCTAGATATATATATATATATCATATATATGACATATATATTAGATATATAATATAAAGGGAAGAGATTTAACAGGTAGAAATATGGAAAAGCCCCCAAAGCTTTAATTCAGAGTAGTCCAGTTCATTTCTTCTAAGCAGAAAAATTCACAGTATTTCTTCAGCTTTCAAATTCTAGGTATTCAAATTGCCATAGTACCCTGCAAAAACTAACACAGATGCAAAATTGTCAGCTGGTAACAATAAAATCGTGTTTGGTTTTGATTAATATATTTCATAAAAGCATTTTTACAAGATGAGAAACTTTGATTTTCCAAGGCTTATAATTCAACCAGTACATACTAGTAGTGTAATGTTGACCCTATTAACTTCCACGTAACAAAAACACTCAGACATTAAAGCACATGTGAAATATAATTTCCCTATAGCTTCAATTAAAAAAAAATGGATTCAGGTTAATAGCAACCATTTGAAATAAGAAATACACAGCTTTATAATCTATCGTAAATGAAAATTTTCTATGTCTATTAGAACTAAGAAAGATCACAAGTAAACTACTCTTCATAAAAATAATGGTAGTTTTGTTCTTAAAAATGATTTTGAAGATAAACTGCCAAAAATGTGTCATAAAATTTAAAAGCGTTTTTATGTTTAATATAAAGTCAAGTTGGTATTTGTACCAAGAGTGAATCTTATATTTTCATTCACTTGAAAAATACAGAAAAAGAATATCTATGAAATATATATATATCTATGAAATATATTATTCTATGAAAGAATATCTATGAAATAATATATATCTATGAAATATATTATTCCCAGTATTGGTACCAGGGATCACCTAAAATTTTTTTGATAACTAGAACACAGTATAAATATCAAAGGTATTATACAGGATACTCACATCATCATATACAAAATTCACAATCCCTTGTTGCGAGTAGTCTCTTCTCCTAAAGAAATCTTTAAACAAACAAATTACTTTTTTATTATAATTTAAAATCTATAGTTTTATAAATACTTAGTGTCCCCAGGTACTAAAAAGTGAATAATTTCATATTAAATTAAATCTTAAATGATTTTATTTCTCAGACAACTGAAACATGAAAAAAAACCTCCAAAAACTGAACTACAACAATTTTTCACTATTTATATTCCAAAATTTTTAAAACCTTTAAACTCTGATTAAATTTAATGGTGGATAAAGGAGAAAACATGTTATAAATTTGCTAGAGAAAGACATTACTCAAGAAAAATAGCTACGTAATACTGTATCCATTTTTAAACGATCAATACCTGTCAACGCTCGAAGCTTCACACAGCAAGCAACATAATCATCAAAGAATATTCTGCCATTCTTGCTATAACGTTTAACGATAGCAGTTAAAGTTTGAGGACTCAACCTAAAACCTAAAAACAAGGATTGATAAATTAAAACTTCTAAAACTAAACACCATAAGACCACAAGAAACACTGCATTCTTGTTTATAGTCATAAAATAAATTAGCATTCAAAATTCATTCTATAAAAATGTTAGCAACAAAGCATATTAGAAATACAACATTCAAATTGAAATTGGTCAAAATAACTATTGATTACTAATAGTAATACATAAATATCACTTTAACTTTGTAATAAAGTCAAGGCTAAAAAAATTTTTGTTTTTTAAAAATATATTTTGATTTTAAATAATGTCTAGTGTATTCATGGTTTTAATGCTTCAATATTTCAATTCTGTAAGTTTATTTTTACTCTTCAGATATATTTTGTATTTATTCTTTCTCTTTATTTTTTATTGAGGTATAAGTGACATATTACATTATGTTAATTTCAGGTATACAATGTAATGATTTAATACTTGTTATGTACTGCAAAATGATCACCAAAGTCTATTTAACATCTGTTCACCATACATAGTTACAAACTTTTTTCTTGTGATTAAAAACTTTTAAGATCTACTCTCAGCAAGTCTAAAATCTGCAATATAGTATTATTAACTAGTCATCATGCTGTACAATACATCTCCATTACTTACTTATAACTAGAAATCTATACCTTTGACTCTCTTCACCCATCAATTCTGTAATTTACAGTTCTTTAAAGACTATCAAATCAAATCAAAGATTATCAGTGATCTTGGCTATCATTCAAATCCTATACTTTCCACTGAATATTTTACTTACAAGTGTCTTTTATAGCCAAAGAAAATTTAAGAATCAACATGGTTATTCAGAAGGAGAACAGAAAATTGTTATTTCTTTATGTCCCATAACCCTTACTCTGCTTCTTCAAAGACTTTCATCTTATCTACACCCTTCTATTTCCTTGGTTCTTTGCTGTCTAGGCCTGTGGTCTCCAGAAATTTTTGATTGTGTACTCCTATTGGTAAAAAGTTTTGGATCATTCACTCCTATTATATAGTTTGTTTTAAATTCTATATATGAATTACTGTTTGATTATCTTTTAAAATACATATAAAACTAAAATTTAAAAGAATTAAATAATAATTAGAAATATAAATTAATATAGTCTACTTTATGCATCCCTATAGATCAGGGGTCCCCAACCACCAGGTCGCTGACTGCTACCGGTCTGGCCACATAGCAGGAAGTGAGTGGCAGGCAAGCGAGCAAAGCCTCATTGGCAGCCGCTCCCCAGTGCTAGCATCATCGCCTCAGCTCCACCTCAAATAGAAGCACCAGTCTCTGGTGCCAAAAAGGTTGGGGACTGCTGTTATAGATGGTCTTATGCATTTAATTAGATGTGTGCACTTTACTATGAATGCTGGTCTAGAAGTACTACTGTCTTTATATATTACTGGATCAGTACACTTGGACAAAAGACAGTAATCCATTCAAAGGGGAAAACAATACAAATTAACACAATAGGAGAAAATTCTATATGTACCTATAAAGGTAATGGCAGAAAACTTGCTAAAAGTAAATGAAAGGAAAGGTATAAATTAATAGAAGCAGCAAGTAAAACATGCAAACTAATATAGTTATATGCAAATGTATTTTGAGCTTTCTATAAGAGTTATGATCTGGATGTGGTAATGATAAAATTCTTAAGATTCCCCAAAGCATTGTGAGCAAAATAATTTGAATATTTAAAAATATATCTGAAGATCTTAAATTTGAATAATCCAGAATACCTCTTTGTTATACTCAATTGTCTACGTAATTCTTTGGTGGTTTTCTTTTTCGCAAATGGTTATATCAATTTTCCAACATTATGGTGAATTAAGGAGTAAGTTTAACCCATAAGTTATTATGGATCTATAACTGAACTACACATGCATATATGACCCGGATTGTCCCTAAAATGACCATTTATTAAATTAAAATGCTACTTATAAAACAAAATCACTAGTTTTGACTTCTTTAAATTGGAATTAGAAATAATTTGCATTGGGTTCAGACTTCCACTATCAAAGTTAATTTTCTTACAAATGTATTTCTTTAGAAATGAATATAAATAAAATCACAAGGGTAAACACAATTAAGAAAACTACTTAAAATTGTATTAACTGTAAGCAAGTTAAATACCACTGTGTATTATCACTTTTTTAAAGAAAGTAGATTGAGAACCTTAGCTTCTCAGAGATATGATAAAAATAGTTATACTCTTTTAAAATATTCTAAAATGCAGACTTCCCATTTTGACCTATTTTGGTGTCTACTGTGTGTTCTCTACTACATAAGAAAAAAAAAGCATGGTTTTTACTGCTGAAAAGCCAGATAATATGGAGACTTCTAATTGAGAGAAACCATTGCTGTCTAATTAGAGATCTTACCAAGTTACAAAAGAATACCATATAAATGGTGAGTATTAACAATTAGAGGAATACATTTAAATACATTCAACAGAGGAAATCCAGAAATTATTTTATCATTCAGAATGTAAAAAAGATCATCTTTTGAAAAATAATGGGTAAAATGTTTTTTAAAGAACTTTAGTTGGAATTTATCGACAACCTTGAAATCAAACTAAACAACACCTGGTGAAATAATATATTCCTTTATTACTTAGCAAATTGAAACAATTACCAATAATCTAATCAAAGAACAAAGATGGCCTGGATAGAGACTAAAGAATTTTAATACTCTTACCCATAGCAACAATGGCTTGATTCAATTCATGGTGTTCTATTGTGCCACTTTGGTCTTGATCAATACTTATGAAGTTTTGTTTCCAGGCATTAAGAGCTGTCCAAAGTTCTTTGAATTCATTAAATCCCATTTTTCCTGTGTAATCTCTCTGATAGTTTTATTAAGAAAAATAAATTTTGATAGGAAAGAGAATTTACCTGGCTCAAAACTCTAAAGCATTGACCAAAAAAAAAAAGTTAGTATGCTTTTACAAGAGTTAGCCAAATTCAGCATGTGAACAGATTTTGTGTGAAAATGGAAAAGTATGGAATTTAAACAGGCTCTTAAAAAGCAATTTTAAACTCTAGTTTACTGCAGTCATCTATAACCAACAATTGTCTTAATATTCAGAAAGCAATTGTTCAACATTCTAGTATTTTTTATTTTTATTGAAGGATACATCCAACATGGCAATCATAATTCTGCAGGTTTCCAAACTGAAGGCTGTAAAACATTTATTATTTGAATTATTGAGTATGCTCAATTTTATCTATGTAAAATTGTGACAATTTTTATTTTCAAAATAAAACATTTAAAAATTGCCAAAAAGGCATAATCACCCCAATCAACAAACTTTTAATGAGGCCCAGAAAGATAGTTTCCCAAGTTCATAGAACTAATGAGTGGATGAGTCAGGACTGGAGCCCAGCACTCCTTCATACAAAAAACTACATGAGCAGAGAAGAGGAAAGTAGTGAAAGTAACATGAGATATCTCTGGAGTGGCATTTCATCATTTGTCAAGCAAATGGTATCTGTCTTGCATGGCACACATTCATTAAGTGGGAGAATCTGAATAGATGATAATAAATGGCAAAAATTGAGTCATCAAATAAGCAAATCTTCAATCTCAAGACAGGACCAAGTACATAAAAGATTAAATATTTCTGACAAAGAATAAAAAGAGAGAATTTTCGGGAAAGTTGACAGATTTTTGCTCCCTCCCGACACCCTATTAGAATAGACAGTATATTGATTTATTAAAGTCATAACCTTTAGAGAAAAAGAGAATGAGAGAAAGAAACAAAGGAACAAAATTAGGCAAGTTGGAAAAGTAAATTGACATGAGTTAACTAATCTAGAATTGAGAAAGTGGCTCCTTGAACTTGTAATAGAAAAGCTGAGAAACAGCCTAGTTATCCTGGAGGACCCCAAAAGTTTATGAATTTGTAGTACTTCTGTAAATCAGAGTGAAGGTAAGATAAAAACAGAAGGACTGGTTGAATGCCCACTTAAGGAGCATTTAGAGCCCCAAATCCCCTCCTTGCCTCAGCTCAGTGGATGACCGTTATGTCTGCTCCCACCCTAGTGGAAGGCATGGGTTTTATTCCCTGGAGAGGTCTCTGGATTGCACGATACCAGGCATAGTTGAAGACAGTGCTATCTACTAAAAACAAGGCACTTAAATGACAATTTACAAAAGACCAAGAGCCCTGCTGAGTCCTCCTTCCTCCTTTCCAGACAGAAGATTAACTGGACCAATCAGCCCAAAAGGAAACCCCTGAAAGATACTGACACCTAGTGTTGTACAACAAACTGCCCAGCGTAACCACCAGACACCAAAGTTTACAATGAACATCTAACCATATCTCAGAGCTTCTAACCAGTATTTTAGTTAACTATGAACAACGAAGGATCACCAGACACCCGGGAAAAGCATCTAATATGAAAGACAACCAAACAAACTAGAAAAAAATTGGGAGGAAACAAGGATTATGTAAAAAAAAAAAAAAAAAAAACTTTAAAAAATACAGTAAGTCTCAGAGAGATGAGGGAAGACATCGCCTTCCTGAAAAAAGAATGGCTCTTGGATTCTAAGAACATGACAGCAGAAATGACTCAATGGAAGGTTTAGAAAATAAAGATAAGGAAACTTCTCCCAAAGTAGAGGAAAATAAGAAATAGGAGAGAAAAGGTAAGTTATCCATTCCAAATAACAGGAATTCCAGAAAGAAAAAAAAATAGAGAAAACATCACAGAAGAAAATTTCCCAGAATTAAAGCAAATGAGTTCCCAAAGTGGGAGTGCCCACTGAGTTCCCCACACAACACAACTAGGCACATCTCTCTGAAATACCAGACTGGGAACAAAGAAGATTTTACAAGCCTGGAGAGAGGAAAAATAAACAACATACAAGAAGGAAACAGAAGATAAAGCAACAATGGAAGCTAGAAAGAATGGAGCAATACCTTTAAAATTTTAAGTGAAAATGATTTGTAACCTAGACTTCCATACCTGACCAATCACTTAATTCTGCGGATAGAATGAAAGCATTTTCAGATGAGGTCTCAAAAAATTTATCTCCCATGCATTCTTTCATTAAGAAGGTCATTAACGTTACATTTTATTGAATTTAAAAAGATGACAAGAGCTGAAGTTAAGGGGAGATCCAATTCCAGAGGGAGGAAAGATAGCTCTAGAATGGTGGTGAAGGAATGCCAGAATAATAGTTCTGCATAGACAGTAGAAATAGAAATAGAAATAGAAATAGAAATCTCCAGGATGATGATTCATTTCAGGCAAGTAAAAAGTTATATAAAGTAGAAAATTAATCATACCTATCAAAAGACACAAGAAGAGCATTTAGATAGGCAAATACTGATTATTGATCTAACGAAAGTTACTATATAGCTATATTGGATGGATGGGATGGTGGGAAGGGTTCCTATGTGGAGTGCAGGGACGAGGATGAGTTTAAGGTTGAGAGTTAAATTTTCATGCCCTACAGCAGGACAACAGTTGATAATCATGGAAACTGAAAATCAATAGTGATAAAAAGCATATTATTTTGAGGTCTGGAAGCAAATTTCTAAAGAATCGGCTGAAAAACTTGAAAGACTATGAGTGGTTAATGTTGGGGAGACAAATGCACAATAAACAGTTATTTTCGTAACAAGCTTTGCACAATTTTTTGACTCTTTAAACGACATGCACGTAAATCTGGGATAAAATTTTTTAAAATATTTTAAGTATGAAGACAAAATGTTAGAAAATGAATTTCCTATTCGAATTTCAAAAGAAGGGGGGAGAAAAGATCTCACGAGAATAAGTTCCACTAATTCCGGACTGTGTCAAACATTTCTGAAGTTCTTCTGCATCCACTTCACCATCCTGTTAAAAATAATTATAATTCAATTTAATATACAATTGTATAGCATATTAAAATGCTAGTTGGCTATTCTTGCCTAATCAATAAATATACTTTCTTCAAAACATTATTGTTTACCAGCTACAATAGAGATAATTATTGACAGCAAAGGCATATTACAGAACATTATGCAACATGAATAATTTTTCGCAATCAAATTATAACCTAGCAATTTTTCAAACATTTTAAATATAACCTTTTTCAGCTTCTGGAAAATAGCACAATCATTCTGTACTATAATAGCTCAAAATATCTTGTGAGAATCACTGTACTCCCTAAAATAGTTGGGAAAATGCCTAAAATGTGTTCAAAACAGTCTCAAAAACTTTCCCTTGATGCTAATTTTGGGGGGAGATTATTTCTAAAGGATATTGAAGAAGAAATTTTTTTCATCTCATCACTACCCCCAGCAAAACGTCAGAGTCCCCCTATAGTCTTGGTTTGAACTTTTAATGGGAAATAAAAAGGTTAATGCAAATAAATAACAATGGAAGTGAAACATGTCGAATATTCTCATGTTTCAGAATCTCATCATATTTTCCACAAATACAAAGAGTAATTTACTTGGAAACATCAAATACATTGTCGCGAATGCAAAACAATGGCTCTAATAAAGGATCAAGAAGGCGAATTTAAAACATTTTGTAAAAGTTCCAAGAAACAAACAAAAACAACTTTTACAAACTACTTATAAGAAGAATTATAAACACTCATATTCTGATCTTTAGCAAGGAATTCCTCATAATGAAAATTCCAGTGGTTCTCACAGGAATTTAAAAATACTGAGAAGGATTCTTCAATGAACTATCCATGTAGTACTTACTACACAGAATACCTAAGTGCTCCTTTCTCTGTCATGCATATTTTCTGGATTTTGCTTAAAATTTTTTAAATTCTGTAGTTAGAAAATTATACTTTAAGAAAATTAGCCTTCTTTTTGGATTCTAGACACAATCAAGGTGGGGACAATTACAAAACCACTACATATGGAAAGGTGGTATGGTGGGAGGAAAGGATGACATGGAAGGGGAACAAAAAGAGGAGGAGGAAATAAAAACTCCATGTGAAGTTTACGAACCAAAATTCCTAAATATATGGAAAAATCCAATGTTCAGAAAGACAAAGGTCAACAATTTTACAATAGATTCATATAATACGAAATTAATTTCATAGAGCAATCATTAAATTAAGTATGTTAAAATGTAGAGAAATAACTGAACAGATATCTTTCATTTAAAAAGAATAAGAAATTCATTTAACAAATATTTATTGAACAACCTATGTTCAAGCACTATTAAAAGGTCCAGGTATCAAACACTGTCCAAAACAAATTCTTCACCTTCACAGAGCTTACATTTTAGTAGGGGATGGGGGGGAAGGGGGAGGGAGGGGGGCGGAGGAGGAGACAATAAAGCTGAAATTACATATGACAATATTAACTGCTAAAGGAAAAATGCACCAGAATAAAAATAATAAAGAATATGTGCATGGGCCTTGTGGAAGACGCCAATGCTATTTTATAGAGATGGTTAAGGAAAGCCTCGCTGATAAAGTAGATTTTGAGAAAGATCTGAAGTAAAGGAACAAGCTATGCAGATATTCGAGGGAAGAGTGTTCTAGGCCTGAGGTGTCTAATATAGTAGCCACTAGCCATATGTCTCACTGGGCATTTTCATGGAATGTTCTATAAGTGTAAAATGCACACCAGATTTCCAAAACTTAGTAACAAAAAAAAAGTAAAATATCTAATTAATAAGTTTTATATTGATAACACTGATATGTTAGTATTTTTTGATATACTGGGTTAAATAAGTTATTAAAATTAATTTCACCAATCTTCCTACTTTGTAAGGTGTACTACTCAAGACTCTAAAACTATATATGTGGTTTGTATTTGTGGCTAGCATTATGTTTATTTTGGATAGTGCTGCTCTAGGCAAAGAAAACAAGTATAAATGTCAGAGGATGTTCTTGGTGTTGCTATAATCTTTACCCATTCACCCCTTCTTTCCCTCTATCACTCATTTCCTTCATGTCTTTCTCCGTAACTGGACAGAGATCTTCTAAGTCACTACTTGAGTTTTCTTTACCTTTGCATCTTAGGCCCCAGCACAGTATCTAGCACAAAGCAGGTTAGTTGTTTGGGAGAATGAAGACAATTACCACTGCTTCTAGGTTAAACTACAGTCATTTCTGACAGTTTGTTGCCATGTTCATTTACTATTTCAAAAGGTTGAAAATATTACAATTTCTCATTCAAATTTGGATTAAATTAAAAAACTAAAATCTAATATAATGAATGAAATTCGATGTGACATATACTTTTTTATAGAATGTTTGAAGTCAGAAAAAAAACATGAACAGCTCTGCTAAAAACTTTAACATCAAAAAGTATTCTCCTAGTAGACTACATCATACTCATCTTCCTACATTTTATGAAAACATGTTATCTTAATTGACTGACTAATAAGCAATGTCTTAATGTATTAATCGTTTTGGATCTCTTTACATGCAGTTTGAACTGATGAACATTATCAACTATAGAAACCCTCAACAAAATTAGGTAGCATTAGTGGTAGAAAATGGCATTTTCTAATTAAATAATAAGAGCTTTACGTAGATAATTAACAAAAAATTGCCATTGGTTAGGTTAACTGGTAGCAAGATTTTGAAATGATATTAAAGTTCAAATTTCTATTTATTCAGTTACTCAATCTTAATCGCCACGTATCCATCTATAATAGAAGTGTACATCCATCCTGCCCATCTCACAGAGATGCTGTGTGGAAAAGTGGAAGTGGTGTACACGCTCAAGTTAAAGCTGTTGGTACTACTGAGTCGCATGTATGTACATGTGTGTGTGCATATGTACATGTGTATATTTATGAAGGTACAAACCAGAATTTCCCTAATCAACTGAGGAGTGAATCATTACTGTTAAGTAAACATTATCCTGCAGAAAACTTTAACTGGACATTTCTCATAGAGCATCATTTATTGTAAGGCCTATGGAAAAAGAATACAGCTGCAGAGGAGTTCAGTAATTATGTTCTAGGACCATAATGTGTAAGTCTGATATTACACTTGATCTAAAGCTAGAAAAAAATTCAACATATAAAAGAATTATCTAAATATTTGAGCTAAAAATTAAAAAGAAGATAGTTTAAATATCCATCCAACACATTTATTGAATGACTAATATATTGTTAGTGCTCAATTGGTAAGGGAGAATATAACAAAGGCCATGCCCTAATGGAATTTAATTATTCAAATATACACAAGACAAAGTATCATATAATACAAACATAGCAAATCATTGTTGACCACTGTTACATTGAAATAGTTTGGAAGTTAAATAAAAGTCTCTAAATACATATGTTCAGTTCTTATGTTTTAAATTGTAATTTTATAATATTTTTATATCATATTAGATTAGATTAGATGGAATTCAGCTATAGATAACATATTTAGTCTAGTATTATACACTACTTAAAAGTTTCTTGCAGATAAGAATGGTATAATGTAAGAGTTATGATTCCATTTAGCTGAAAATAGAAAATGCTATTAAAGGGGCTTTAAACCAATAAGAGTTTATTATTTCATACAAGGAATCTGGGTCTAGGAAGAACAAGACTATAGAGTAACTTAATGACGCCATCAATTTCTTTACATTTTTCCACATTCCCCACCCATAAGCCTTTAACTCAAACTTGTTGCCTCAAAGTCACAAGATGGCAGCTGTACCTTCATACCTCAAGTCCTCTTTCCAGGCAAGAAGAATGAAGGAGCAAAAAAGGCTAACACTAGTTTCCAGAAAAGCTTTCCTCATTTGGAAAAAGGAAGTATCTCAAAGAAAATGTACCTATATCTCAATGGCCAGTCCTTTGGTACATGGCTACCTTTACTAGTTACAAAAGTATCTGAGATTGTGTTAGGCTTTCCAACTTCTACTACAAAAGAAAAAAGGAAGGGAGGTTGTGAATGAAAATGGAGTAGCCAAAACAAAGTGTCTGCCACATGTAATAATTCTATGTATATCCTCTATTTCTAGCAAAACATGTGAGACCTCGTGACCCTTACGTGAATACTGAATGAAAAAATGTTATCAGAGTTCCATGAAATTCTAACTACTCAATAAATCTTTCTTGCCGGTATAAAAGAGATATGACTAACACTCACATGTGAATCTCTGTCTCTGCTTATTAGTCTGGTATTTCACCTACATTCTGCCCTATTTTTTTGTTTTGTTTTACCTTTTCCTGATTTGCTTTACCATCAAGCCTCTCCCAGAACCATTCACAATTTACACGTCTCCTTTTAGATACTCTCACCAATCTTAGGGGATTTACATGGAGATCTCTTTTTCTAGATCCTCTCTGGGTCAGTCTCCACAAACTACCTTGTTTCCACTTTTACTTAAATGAATAGTGTGTCAGACATCATACTAACAGAATCTGTAAAATAAAATGACTATCTTCATCTCTAATTTCAGGAAAACAATTAGTATAGATAAGTTTAAAATGCAAATTTCATATACATTTATAATGAGTAAAAGAGTGGATATTTTAAACAGCAATCATTTTTTTTAAACTACTATTTGTTCATCTTACCTGTCCAGCAATAGCAGTGAAGTACATCCACACGGGGTCTCCTGCTGAGGGATAACTGTCAGAATAAGTTGGGTATCCGGAGTACCCACCAGGGAGCACATGTGGCCCTGTTCCTGGCATTGGCTGTCCCATTTGCATTCCTGGCATATGACCACTAAAATTTCCAAACTAAAAGCATAAAAAAGAAGTTATTAATACAAATGTTAGCTATTATCCACCAAAGTTGTATTAAAAGGAAATATTTATGAGTAGTTCATTTAAATGCAATAGAGTTACTGAAAGTTTCCAAATTCACTATCACGAAACTGTTAGCTACAAAACCCTAGATTTCCAGCATTAGGGCCTAATTCAGTTCTTAACATATGTTATCCAGCATTAAAAGGAGTGTGAAAGAAAAAAGCCTCTAGCCTCCAAGAATTGGAATCGAGCAGATGAACAGGAGGCACAATTTTAAAAAGTGTTTGCCATGAACATCACTGAAATAAACAAAAAATAAAAAATACAAGAAAATTTATCCTACAAGAAAACTAAGAAGTAGTATAACTCAAGACGTACTTAGAAGAACACATGGTGAAATACAATGAAATTGTGAATAAATCAAGGGAAACTGCATAGGGCCAAAACACCATCTCCACCAGAAAACTTTTATTTTTTAAAAAGCAAGAAATAGATCAATAAATACCAACAAATAGATCAATAAAGTGATAATTCCAACCATGGTTCTTTTCAAAACTAATAAGAACAAGAATACCAAAATAATAACCTGCAGCTAGTATTAGTGAGAGCTTTTCATATTCCAGGTAGTACTGGTTCTGAGTACTTTCTATGTATTATGTATTATGTGTTATGTATTATGTGATCTGATTTTCTACCAACTTTCTGAGGTATGAAAGTACCATGTCCTTTTTGCAGGTGAGGACCTGAAACTCAAAGAGGTTTCCTGAACTGGTAAAGCTCAAATTTAGACCATGATTCAAAAACAGATAGTCTGACCCCAGAGGCTAAATAGTTTGTTTCCTGCTACACCTCTGGTTTCTCTCATTGTCACACTGAAATTTGGTTATTATTTTTAATACCGTAGAAAAGTATTTTACTTGGTATTTTTCTGAGTCTGGAGGAAGTATTAAGATTATTCATTATTCCATATTGAACAAAAATATTTTCACCTGCATTCTTTTTTTTTAATATAGTGTTGCCCTTTAAAAATTTTTTTTTTAATTTTTCAATTATAGTTGATATTCAATGTTAGTTTCAGGTGTACAGCATAGTGGTTAGACATTAAATAACTTACAAAGTGATCCCCCTATAAGTCTAGTACCCTCCTGGCACCATACATAATTATTACAATATTACTGACTGTATTCTCTATGCTATACTTTACATTCCTGTAACTATTTTGTAACTGCCAATTTGTACTTCACTTGCATTCTTTAAGGATGAGTAGCGATTGCCAGAAGGCAAAAAGAGAAAAGGTTTAAAGAGGAAAAAAGAGGAAAGACAGGAGACTTTTGCAGTATTTTGAAAAGTTGCAGAATGAGATGTGGTAAGAGCAAAAGTATGAAGGAAGTATTGGAGCTCCAGGAAGTGTGTGCAAGAAGGTGGTCAAACTTAGATTATAAAGTACAAGAAAGGAAACAGAAAACATGAAAACAATATAATGGATTAAAAACTAAAAAACAAACAAAAAAAGATGTGATTGTTTAAAAGATACTTCTTAAAAAAAAGGGACAGATTATAAAAGGACAGGCCAATTTCAGGAATGAAAAAAGAAGAGTATATAACTAGAAATAGAATTTAAATTAAAAAATAATATTAACAATGCTATGAATACCTTTTTACCAAATATATTTGAAAATGTGGATGAAATGGGCCTTTTAAAATAATATAAATAACAAATATTGACTCAAGAAAAAAATTCCTATTTCTAACAATGGCAGGCTAGAATAATTTGATCAATTTTAACAAAAAATTATCAGTGTTGCAAAAACATTGTTTTTAAATCACCTGTTAAGGGGAAACTTCCAGGCCAATACTGCGGACAAGTCTAAACCCTGAGATAAACGGATTAGCAAAACTCCCAAAGCTTTTGCTCTGAGGGTATGTGGCAATTACCAACACTTAGGGGTTGGTTCCAAGGCCTCCAGGGATATGGAGGGCAACCAAGGCCTGGGGCATATCCAAGACTTTAAGGCTTATTTGACACCCTCAAAGAAACATTGTTTTGCACATTTTTGAATCTTTAATATTATCTTTGATTCCTAATTTCTTCCCCAAAATTTGCAAACTTCTCGTCCATTTTGTGAGAGTTGCTTTACTTAAAACTAGATTATATTTGTAACTCCAGAGCACTCTGCACATATAAACTGTAGTAAATCACAATATGCTGAAAGGAAAATTAGTAATTTCACATTTTTCCCTTTAGTCTTTGAACTCATTTTTTATTCTATTCCAGGAATATCACATTTGTATAAGATTTTTATGCTTAAAATGTATTTTTATGTTTGGAAATACTGATCACCCTATATACTTAAAATAAAAATATGTATATAAATTGAAATTTTAAAATTTGTTTCATTTCCTGTGACCATAAAAGGAAAAAAAGTCCCTTTAGATTGATTTAAAAAAGTTTCATTAGTATACAATTAGTAAAAAAAATTACAATTTTGATAAATTACTAAACAAGAAACTAAAAATTTATTTGAAATGCATTTCCTAATGATGTGAATCATCTACTTAAAGTGTAATATCAAAACAAATAGGTCTAGCAGCTAACATATTTTATTAAAAGAATATAGAAAACATTAATAAGATGTGGATTGACTATAATTAATGATTTATAAAACAGTTTTAACTATCTTATATATTTTGACTAAAAAAATGTAAGTTGTATCAATAAATTTTATCCAATGCATTTTAAAATATTTCCATCACATTTAAAAGAATCTCTGTTTCAGCTGTTTGAAGGTAATTTCTTTCCACTACTAATGATGAGAATGAGAATAGCTGAAAAGAGTTGCTATGTTTAATTAAATAGAAAGGGGCATTTAAATGTTCAAAACACACACAGGTGTTTCTCTTTGCTCTTGTAGAACTCTCCATCACATACAAGCACTCTGACAGAAGGAAGTAGCGAATTCTTTTGAATGAAAATGTATTACTCTCACCATTTCACTTTACATATATGACTTCAGAACATACAACAGAAGTGAAAATACCGTGTTTCTAACACCAAGCTTCACCCTACTGAAAACATGTAGAAAGTAGGGAAATCTTAAAAGCCCCGCTGGTTTACACTACCTTGACTAATGTTTAAAGACAGCTTTACCCTCCTTAGGCACCTTAAACTTTCTTAATAAGTTTTAGGACTGATGAGAGGTAGACGTAGTAAAAATAGAAGAGGCAGGAGGAACTCCAGCAAGTTTTCAAGCAAATCAGTTTTAGGAACGAGTATGTGTGGAAGTTGACAGTCTGGAAATTCATTCCCTTAAAAAAAATATTCCCGCATACTCCCAGGGCTAGAGATAAACATATGACAGTGTTAAGTCCTACATTAAATATTAGTAAAGCACAATTTCTTTCTAGGTATAAACAAGTACAATTAAAATTGTAAATATGTTATTTTCTACCCACGCCCCAATGGATTACCCCTCGCGCCCATTTTTTGAACACAAAGTGTGCTCACCCCACTTTAGAGATCATTGACATAAACACTGAAGGTTGAGCTCCTTCCTAAAAAAAAACTAACAGTATACTACAATTAGAACTTCTCCCAAAAGTGATACAAAATGAGTTATATAAGAAAGGGTAACCCTCCCCACATCCCCAAAAGTCTAGAACAGACATAGAGATTAGGAGGCATTTAGCATATATTAATTCATTCATAAGCAATTTAAAGGACAGAAAACAAATGGTCAAAAAATTCAGAAAGAGGACGTCTAGCAAAACAGTGGCGTGTATGGGTGAGGTAGGGAACAAAAGATTACTGGAACAGGAAAAGGGTGTTTATTCCTCCGTTCCAGGAAAGAAATTTCTAAAAACACATCACAATTCTTGGCTCCACAAAGACACGCCTAAAGGACCCTCAGGGACCAGAACACCTGCGGCTCCGGGGATGGCGGGGTCTCATTTTCCAGCACCGCAAGGTGTATGAGCGCCACGATGTACTAGACGCCAGCAAAACAGCAGGGCCTGAAAGCGGACGGAGGATGTCGGCATCGCCAGCAGGGGTACCACACCCCGCGGGGGCCGCGGTGAAGTAGCCAGGACTCACCCCTCCTCCGTATCCCGGGTAGGCCATGACAGGCGGAGCGTCACGCTTCTCCTTTAGAGTCTGCGTCTGCCCTGCAGAGTGAAAAGCCCAAGTGCTGATGCAGGTGCAGGTGAGACTGAAAGACTCTCTTAGAGGACAGTTTACTTCCCACCTTCTACCCCCGGCCCGCCCCCTCCTGGAGTCCCGCCCCACCGTGCTCGGTTCCGATTGGCTGAGAACCGCCCGTCGGAGTCCGCCCTGCCGAAACCCGCCCCTTTCCGGAGTCTAGCCCCACCCATCTCATCTCTGATTAGCTTCACGCGCCCAGCCCCTACCTGCTCTGCTCCTATTGGTTCACTCAGGTCTCGCGCTCTCTCCCTACTAAAGCGCGAAGAAGATTTTGCAAGGGTTACTTTCTCCCTCTTTGAGAAAGCTTTTCAGAGTTGTTTCTTATTTCCGTAGAAGCCACATACCAACCATCACTTCTTTTAACCTAATCCCCAGTTTTTTTTGTGGACTTTCAAAACTTGCAGAGCTAAATTTATTTTTGAGTAGCGTTGATATCACATAAACAGCATTTTGAAACCTTTACCTCTGCCCCAACGGGAGTGCTTCTGAGCTAAAACCCACTTGACCTCCAAATTTAATAAAAAGTTATTTGCAGTTTGATACATAAAGGGTAACTAGAGTTGCCAGATTTAGCAAATAAAAATACAGGATATCCAGTTTCAAATAAACTGAATTTTTATAAGTATGTCTCAAATATTGCAGGAGACATACACTTATACTAAAAAATTCACTGTTTATACATTGATAATATACAGAACATCCTGTATATTATTTGGTACCCTACTAATGACTCAACCTTTGGTCACTCTTAAGATGTACCTCCTAATTATATCCACCGAGAAGAACATCTTGGTATTTATCACTCGGCAAAACGTTAAATGCTCAATTATTTAATTTATTAAGTAATAGTAATTGACAATTCTGTTTTTCTCCAAAACTTAAATGTGTAGCTCCAGCTTTAAAAGGACAGGACACATACATACACACGTGACACGATAGTTGAAGCTTTAGCTTAAAAACAAACAAAAAAACCAGAATTATATTATTTTGAGTTATCTCTAATGAATAAGACAACTGCTAAAACGTATCTTTAAAATAAGGATGTGGGGGAAAGAGTTAATTATTAGCAGAGGAAATAAACCTTGCAAAGCTGAGCAACTGTTGCTCAGTTTCATTACAGAAGAGAAACATTTTGAACCTTGTAAAGCCTAATTTCATAAGGAAGAGGCAGAGGAAAAGGAAGATTGCTAAGGTACAAGCCACTGTTGAGAAAATATGTGTTAGTTCCTCTAACACAGTAAAAAATACTTTAGCTGGTAAGGTTAAATTATTAGCATAAATAAATAAATGGAGGGAGATGGAAAAACAATATGAGGAAAGAACATACGATTCATCAAAGCATCAAGTGATAAAGCACTACAAAGCAAAACAAATATTTGCAAAGTTTTATTCTAATTAATTAACTAAATATTCAAAGAAATGCTCAGAAAGGATCCAGGATTTTACATTTACAATGTTAGTCCAAATATCTGGTCAGAATTTTTGTACATCTTTTCATCATAATAGCCTTATTGATGCATTATATTTGTGTATGTTGGAGTCAAGTCTCCATGGCTCTCTTGCATTTTTACACAAATAGTTTCAAAAATAAGGATAGTATTTCCTTCAAGGAAAGATTTGTTGCAGGATAGCAAAGATCATCTCTCCCTCAAAATTAAAGATTGGGCAGGTTTGCTAGCAGGACTTTCCTAGCTTGGAGTTCCTCCATTCTGAAACAAACCCACTAATTGTGCAGCACCCACCTAGCAGTTTCATTTTGTCTTGTGGGACTTGGGAGCAAAAGGACTCTAAGAGAGTACAAAGTTCCTGCTGCCTGTTGTGCTTTGAGTAATAAAGTCCTTAGTTTCTAACAGAAGAATTTCATATCTTGTCAATTTCTGTGAAACTGTGCTACTCATTAGCTTGCAAGTAGGACGAAATACCAGTCCTTATAGTTCTTGGCAATGTATATCTTTTTTAGAGAAAGAGCTACCCAGGATTATTTCTACTGAAGGATAGCAGAATATGCCATCTCAAACTATGCCACTTTGACATACGATTATTTTGAACTGAAGACAATTGAGAAGAAATAAGAAAAGCTCTCTACTCCCTGTTTGCCTAAAAAAGGACATACATTTACAAAAATGTCCCTCCTCATAGTTTGGTGGGGTTTTTTGTAATTTTTCACTTCCCTGACAATACAGAGCCCCACTTACCCCTTCTCCATTCTTGTTTCTCCTTTCAAAATGCCCAATCACCTCTGTACAAATCAGAGTTGAGTTTAATTCATGCTGAAGTCTTTTCGCTATTATTATTTTTATTATTTCCTTGTTATTAATAGTATATTACCAATTAAAATCATCCTTACCACTTTAACTAGTGTCTAGCTTTGTTTATCTTTGCCATTGGTGGAGACTGGAGGGAGAGCTGTTTGGAATGGCCAAATCAAAAATCAATATTGAACATGTTCAATTTGAGATGCTTATAAGACTAAGTGACAGTGTCATGTAGGTAATTGATCTAAGCAGCTGGCTGGAGTACCAGTTTAGCTAGTGAGGGGCCTACCAATCACCCAAGATATGCATCTTAATGAACTTTGTTATTCTCCACTTGGTACATATGCAGCAACTGTTGAGAAGCAGTGAAGTGGGAAGTGTTCCTCCAAAAGGGCCTTAAAATGAAAGTTAATTGCTAATGCTGGTAATAGGAGTTAAAGGGGCCCAAAAAATTAGTGCCTTTTGACATCATATTCATCAAAATTAATGAATAATAGAAGTAGCTTTATGATCTAGTGTATTAAAGGCGTAACTTATTATATGTGCAAAATGGTTCTGGCAACCTTTAAATCCACGTAGCTTGAGAAACTACATACAGTGTCCTAGCCAGCTTGCTGCCATAACAAAATATCGTAGACTGAGTGGCTTAAACAACAGAAATTTATTCCTCACAGTTCTGGAAATTGAAAGTCCAAGATAAAGGTGTCAATAAGGTGAGGTCTAGTGAGAACTCTCTCCTTGGGTTCAAATGGATGCCTTCTCACTGTGTTCACACATAGCCTTTCTTCAGCATATGAGAGAGACAGAAAGCAAGTGCTCTGCTATCTCTTCTTATAAGGACGCTAATCCCATCATGATGGTCACATCTTCATAATCTCACCTAAGGCTCATTACCATTCAATGACTCCATTTGTAAATGCCATTGCACTAGGGGGTAGGGCTTCAATAAATGAATTTTAGGGGCACAGTTCAGTCTATGGCGCATAATATCTGAAAGGTGAGGAAGAAGATACACTTAGTCATAATATCCACTGCTGTGTTCTCACTTTCAATCCACTCTAGTATTTATTTCATGCTAAAATGTATTCACATAGATTTCATGCCATAGTTTTAATTGATATACATGCAATAATTATCGTACTTTCCCCAGAAATTATTCATTGTGTTTTTAATAA